GCACCATGATCAAAACCAGCTTGGGAAGGAAAGAGTTTATTTTTCCTGCTCTTTTCATATCCCTGTTTATCCTTGAAGGGAGTCAGGACAGGAACTCAAACAGGGCAGAAACCTAAAGGCAGGAACTGATGCAGAGACCATGGAGGGGTACTGCTTAGTGGTTTGTTCTCCACAGTTTTCTCAGCCTTCTTTCTTGTAGAACCCAGGACCACCAGCCAAGAGATGGCACCACCCACAATGGGCTGGGCCCTCCATCACCAACTTCTAGTTAAGAAAATGCCTTACAGCTGGATTTTATGGATTCATTTTCTTCATCGAGTTTTCATCTTTTCAGATAACTCTAGCTTGTGTCAAGCTGGCATAAAGGTAGCAATTAACTACTTTTGAAATTGACATACAAACAGTCTACTGTTAAGCCATAACTTTCTTATTTGTTTATTCCCAATATCACACATGAATAGTAACATTACAATATAGACATTTCAAAATTTATAAATTTGAAAATTCGAACACTTAAACATTCAGCTTCTTTAAAATCCAAATTATTTGTTTAATTCTAAAATCTCTCTGAAAGTTCAAATTCTCTTAACTTTGGGTACCTACAAGATAAAAAAATAAGTTAAATACTTTCTTATTTAGAGAGAGAAGAATCAGGGCACGGTAACATAAAAATCAAAACAAAACAAAACTTCTACTATGTAAATGTCAGTGTTCAATGTCTAGGACCCATTGACTATCTTCTGAGCTCCTCCAAAGGGCTTGGATCACTTCTCTGGCTTCACCTTCTGCAGTCAGCACAGAATGTCTCCTAAGCTTAGGCTAGTTCCAGTCCATGGTTGCTGTTTTTCTTGATGGCCATCTCGTGGTACCATCTCCAAAATGCTGAGGTCTCTTCGAGTAACTGTGATGGACTTTCACCAGTAGCCTATCCTGGGTTCTCTTCATGAGGCCAAGCCTCAGCTGCTCTCCTTGACCCATCATTCATTCAAACCATTACCACCTGGTGTCTTACAGTACCAAGTTTGATGGCCAGGCTGAAGTATAACTTTAGCCACCTCTGGAAAATAGCTTCTGCATGCTTACTCATAGGAAACACTTCCAAAATGACTTCACTTCAATGATGCTGGTCTCTTCTTAATCACTGACAATTTTTCAGCTCCAGCTGACCAGCATAGAATATCTCAGTAAAGCAAAATTTTCACATTGGTGCTTCTGGTCTCTTGTTTATCACTGCCTTTTTTTTTTCAGCGCCAGCTAGCCAGAACTACAGTTTATTAAATATACAACCACCCTGAAAGAGTATTGTACTGATTCTTAAACTTCCCTTTGGAACTTAGCCATCCTGCATCATCTGTATTTCTTTCACTGCTTTTATCTTCCAAACACCCATACAACAGTTCACTAAGCTTTGAGTGATCAGTGGATTCTCTGACCCAAAATTCCAAATTCCTTCCACAATCCTCTTCAAAACAAAATGTTCTTGTTTTGCGCCAATACCATATGATCCTGAAACCAATTTTTATCCTACTTACGGTTACTATTGTAATGACGAAACACCGTGACCTAAAGCGTTGTGGGGATGAGTGGGATTATTTGGCTCACACTTCCACAGCACTGTTCATCATTGAAAGGACACAGGCCAGCAACTCAAACAGGGCAGGAACCTGGAGGTTAGAGCAGATGCAGAGGCTTTGGAGAGATGCTGCTTCCTGGTTGCTCATCATGGCTTTCTCAGCATGCTTTCTTAGAGAATCCAGGATGTCTAGCCCAGGGATGACTTTGCCTCTAAAGGGTTAGGCCTGTATACATTAATCTTTAATGAAGAAAACACCTTACAGTTGGACTTATGGAGACATTTTCTCAATTGACGTTCTCTCCTTTCAGATGACTCTAACTTGTGTCAAACTGACATAAAACTAGCCAGCATAGCTGGATATGACTGTTGGTTGCTTCTATCGTCTGAATTTGCACCTCCACTCTAAGTCTTATCCTTCCACACACCGATAAGTACAGTTACCACCCCTCGTCAACGCAGCTTCTCTTTGCAGTAGAGACCGCCACAGAAAATCACAACTGAACACAATGCAGAAATCAATAAATTGCATATGCCTGACCCCAAAGCCTACACTTACATTCTAGCTCCTGGATCCATGGCTCATGGGACATCATGGAAAAAAGAGACAAAAAGATTGTAAGAGTCAGAATACCAGGGTGTCTCCTGTAAAATAGTCTTTCATAGAAATGGTTGTGTAAACAAGACTGAAACAAAAACAGCATCAGTGGACAAGTTAGCACAGAAGGGGGAAAGTTTTTGTTGTGTTCTAACTCTAGTCTTTCCGTGAGTGAGCCTCTTTTTGGTTGTCCAATGCAAAATGGGGAGACTAAAAACCATATACATAAAAATAATAAAAATGGACTCAGCAAGTTATATATCAGATGCATACAGATATATGTATATGTATGTAACATATATAATCAAAGGAAAAGAGGCTATCAACTTGAGAAGGGGAAAATGGGAAAGGTTCACGTGAGGATAACATGGACAAGCTGGAGGGAGGAAGATTGGGGGAATGCTATAATTCCCTTTCAATTACAAGCATTAGAAATATTAACTTTCCAGACCGAATTTTAAAAATCATATTACAGTCACTGAAGAGAAAGTGTTAGTGAAACAAGATGAAAGATACTGATTCATTAAATGTTGCACAGAATTGTAAGTTCTCTCAATAAATAAACAACTGGCATTCAATCTTCCTATGCCTACATTGAAACTTTTCCATCTTACATAACCATGCTAAAGGCTTCTATTGTTAGATTCAGAAACCTTAAGTGCATCTCTAGTTTCTTTCCAGCATTTCAGAAGCTCAACTACCCTATAAGACTTGAAGGTAGACTGTGATTGTCTAGACTCCCTACATTGATCAGTTCATTTAGAGTACTGCATAAACATATTATATTGATTTTAATTAGGGTCTTACACTCCATAGCTCTGTTTCAACAAAACATTACAAAGAAAAACTGTCTTTAAGTTCCATTTAAACATCTCATTCATAATGATTACTTCAATACTGTACAAGAGAAATAAAGCACAGATATAAATTTGATATTGAGTGAGAAGCCAGCTTAAAGTCATTTTCAAGATCTTATTTTAGATGTTCATAATAATCAAAACAGCTTTTAAAAGCAACTTTTTTGAGTATGAGATAATTATACAAATATGGACTTTAAGAAAAAAAATTGGGCTAACAAAAGTTTTATTATTTCATATAATAAAATTTGGTAAATATTTTATGGGCCAAGAGGGGAATTTTGTTGTCACTTTGACATCCATAATTCCAAGGATTATAAATCTCATGTAGAGATCACACATCAGAGGTAGGAGAACAGAGAAATTAAATAATGGCCTTATACAGATAGTGATCAAAGCGACTTGGAACTCATTGGTAAGGAAGAAGTATAGGCAGTTCTTTCTGGTTTCAAAATGCAAAGATTCTAAATAACTGCAGCTACAGAACTTGATGATACACTAAAGAAATTTTAAACTGAAACCTTAAATATTATCAATTCAACAATTAGTAGTGAGCAGAATCAAGGCATAACATAAGAAGCGCAAAATAGCACACACTAAATCCATTTTTTCATGAGATTTTATTTTTTTCCACTTAATTTTTACATTTTATTTTAAGTATCATCTAGGATTGCATTCTCCAGGAAAGAGAATCCGGGACTCAGATTCTATGTGGAAAAATGCAAAAATTTCATCACTTGTAATGAGGTTACAGTGATGATAAACTCATTATAAATTGAAATTACCAAAAGTCAAAGCTGCATTAATCTTCCGAGCAGACATTGCAGCCTGCCAGACATCACGGCATAGCTGCACAGTGCCCTGCAGAGACCTCTCTTCCCCTTTGTGACATTGCAACTGCCTGGGAAATTCAACATTAATCAACAACCTGAGGGAACGTCACACTTTGTAGGCCTAGCTCAAGAGGAGATGACGTTTTAAAATTTGAACTATGATTTCTAATGAATGCTTCTTGGTAATTTACTATTGCAATGCTGAGAACTTGTTGTCAAAATATTATGTGCTGGGGCAACCTATTCTGGGAATTAACAATAAGCACGTAGAGATGGAAAACGTTTAGCAATTTCGTAAGAATTTAAAGGTGTGATACTTTCAGAATTGTCTTTGATAGCTAGTGCCTCTGCAGGGGCTTCTGCTCTCTTGTTTTCCTTACAGACTAATGACTGAATCAGGTGTAACCATGGCAGAAACTTGTCCTGTCAAGCAAATGAATTTCTGAGAAGGAATTTGTCTACAACCTATCTAGAGTCAGCACTGTTGGCAAATAGAAATACATGTCAAGTTCCTTATTGGAGCATTTATATAACAAACTTAGATGTGCAACAAAAATAACATAGATTTTAAAAATAACTTTTTGATTTGTTAAGATTATAATATATCATTCCTCCTTTCTTTTCCTCCCTCCAAACCTCCTCCCTTGCTTTCTTTCAAATATATAGCCTATTTTTCTTTAATTATTATTTTGTGGTGTGTGTGTGTGTGTGAGAGAGAGAGAGAGAGAGACAGAGAAGACAGAGACAGAGACAGAGGCAGAGACAGAGACAGAGGCAGAGACAGAGACAGAGACAGAGTCAAAGACAGACAGACTGACAAAGATCCTCAATATATAAAGTTACTTGAAGGTGTATGTTTTCAGGGTTGACCATCTGGCATTGGATAATCAGTTGGTTTTGTTTTCCCTGGGGAAAATTATTACTCTTGCTCTCAACTTTCCTTGGCTGCCTGTGATTCTTTGTCATAATCCTTATAATACATATTGAGATATTGCAAAAGTGGCAGAATAAGTCCATAGGTACATGTTTCTACAGATAGAGAACTCAAACAAAACCTTAAAAATCAACCTGTTAAAATTCTGGAAAGCATCTAAATTTATTGCAACCAAAACAAGTCATAATTTTTAAAAGCAACTCACCTACATTCATCAGAACAGATTTGTGGCCATATCATTTGTCCTTGGCCCTCAATCTCCCTGATGCTGTGTTGTCATGAACACAGTGGCCACTGCTCCCAAGATAAGGCTCTGGGAGTAGCACAACAGACCATATTATTGAGAAACTGTCTGTGTAGTTCTAGCCTGACATACTGACAAAATGCTCTCTGTTTTGTCTAACTCAAGACACAGAAAGAGCCTAGGCTGGCCATAAAATTACCCTCCCGGGCTTTACAAATATTCTATAATTACTGGTTAGTGGTTTTCATTGATTTTGATTATTTAATATTTCTTGTAAAATGATTCACCTGTTCCAAATTCAATGCATTTGTGACTTAGGCATTTGTAATACTTTCTCAAGCTCTGTAGTTTGTGCTTAACTTGCTTATATAAAGGTCCTCATTTTCAATAAAATTTCATGTGTTCATCAGGTTACAGTTTCTGTTTCAAGGTATACTACCAATAATGAATTCAAGAAGAGCTCATCCATTTTAGCTCTCTGTTGCTTGATCCTTTAATATTTAGAGCCAAACTCTATAATGGCACAATGGAAATTTTCAACAATTTCCAACAATGGAAATTGTTGTTATATGGCATAAAACAAGAATCAAGCATCACTTCACTCTTTATAGGCATCCAGCTTCATAGACTGAATACCTTTCATTTTAAAATTTCAGGATAACTAAACAAGTATCCAGTGCTGCTGTAGGAAAATCCTTCAGCCAGTAGCCTTTTAGTTACCTGCCCACTTGGGCATGGCGTCTTATACTATAAATGCCGTTGTAAAGCACACACTCCCTCTCTATTCCAGCTGCTGGATTCCCGATTAGAACAGAGGACTGTGATCTATGAGTCTACACCTCAATAAATAACCCTTTATTATATTCAATTCTGAGCTAGTATGGAATATCTTTTTAACATCATTCTTCATCTGATACCCAACATGGGGCTTGAACCCACAACCCTGGGATTAAGCATCTCATACTCTACTGACTGAGCTAGCTGAATCCCACAACAATGATTCTACCTAGTTAACCTGATGTCATAATGCTGGTAGTGCAACTATAAGACCCGTATTAGGTACCAGCTGCTCAAGATGGTTCCAACTTGGTTAGTTGAAATGGTGCACCTTTTTACAACATTATGGCCAGAACTCCAAGTAGGAACCCCGGAAAAACTCTACCTAATACCCAGAGACTATTTGCAATTATACCAGATAGTAATCTTGAAGCTTAACCATAATTTTACTTTTACAGGATCACATAAAAAGAACATCACCCCCATGGCAGCTGGAAGTAATTCAAGAAGACGATGTCCCTTCTCCAAACAAAGTTTGTCCTTAGTGTTAGGGACATCAATTATGGGTTGATTATAATTGGTATAGGGTTGGGGGTTGGATGAAAATTATGAAGGCTCAGGAATCTCTTTGAAAAAAAAAGGAAATTGGATGGGATAATAGATTAGTGTGAGCTTACTCACACTAATACTAATAGTGAATAATAGAGTGAAAACTGTGAGCTATTATTTATAGGAAATTTGCATTGGTATATTCTATATTGATACAAACTTAAATTATATTGAATATGTTCCTTATTTTTGTTTACAATATTGGTATACTTAGGCTAAGTTATTTTTGTCATATTGTATGCATGCATGCTTCTACCTCTGCTTAAGACATTTTGTATATTGGTACATTTTGACGTCATTGTTGGTATTTGTTTCACAGTTGTTTAAGATTGTCTAATATTCTAATATGAAGTCTTAATCTTTAAGTTATATAGGTATTAAGAATTATAGGTCAATAGTCATCCATGTTTGTCATATTTATAGTTATACTAATCAGGTTATTTAGATATAGAGAGTTGCATTCTGCATAGATAGGTAATCTTCAACCACTTCAAAGAGCTATAGAATATTGCATTTAAATAATTTAGGGTTCTGTTAATGTGAGACAAGATTGTTCCTGGCAGCACTGATCTATTCTTAAGAGACTGTTGAACACCAAAAACACTCCACTTGGAGCTTGTTTTCTTCTTGGCAAAACTTGCCTTGAGGCAAGGAATTACAAATGCATCGACCACTGAAAAAATGCTTGATATCCAGACAGGCAAGCAGGATACAAGAAAAAAGACTGTCAAATTCTGCCAAGACAGGGTGAAATAGTTTTGAAAATTTTTCTACTTGAAAATTTTGAAAAATGTCTGTCAGTTACTCTAGGCTTTAACCTAAGTTGGTTGAGCCAATGTTGCAAATGAGTCTTTGGGTGATTGCCCAAGTAGCCAGTTGTTTCTGTCATTTGTTGCACATTTTGGAAGTTGCTTGATTGCCCTTTCTGCTTACTCAAGTAATATTATTTCCCTTCTCTGGTCTTCAATGGGGTTGAAGACTAGATAGTAATCGCTACTTTCCTCTCATGACTTGACCAAGTTATTTATAATACAAGACTTAGACTCCTTAGGATAAGATAATTTTTGAAACATTTATCACACTTCTTGCTTGATATTGTTTATGCTGGTTATAATTTCAATTTTTATACTTGATATTTATTCTTATTGTATATAATTTTGTATTAGGCGGTGAATTCTCTTATTTAAAGAAAGGGAGGAGGTGCTGTAGGAAAATCCTTCAGTCAGTAGCCTTTTAGTTACCCGCCCACTTGGGCATGGCCTCTTATACTATAAATACCTTTGTAAAGCATGCACTCCCTCTCTTTCTGGCTGCTGGATTTCCCATTTGAGCAGAGGACTGTGATTTGTCAGTCTACCCTTAAATAAATAACCCTTTATTATATTCAATTCTGAGCTAGTGTGAGACTTCTTTTAGCATCCCTCTTCACTGTGCTACTCTTCTGGACTTTAGAAATTTTTCTCCAATGATCTGTCTCACCAACACTAAGCTGAAATTACATCTAGGAAACTTCCTATAGTTTTATTTTCTATTTGATATTGGTAAGTAGTGGCCCTCATTTCTATGCCTCAGGGTAAGTCACACCTATGTGATCATCTTAATTGTAACATACACTAACCTTTCATACACATGCTTTATCAGTTACTGAGAGATACATATAAAATCCCAAGTCCTGTTTGCATATTTACATATTTTTCCTTTCAGTTTTATCACAGTGGTTTTAAATATTTTTGCTAATAAATGCTTTCAAACATATGGTTAAATGCAAATTTTAGAAATTACATTTATAAAATCTGTCCTCACATATTTCATCTGAATGTCTATTTTTCACATATTAATTAAAAAAATTAATTTTTGTTTATACATGACATGCAAATGTGCATCATGCAAATGTGCTTCTACTTATTCTGCTTACCTTTTAATATTTATCTTAATTCCATATAAATATTGTAAACTTGACAATCTTTGTTCATAGCCTCCTTTGATCATTTATTCCACTATTTGAGAAATAACGAGCTTGGAAATTTTTACTTATATAAATATTATTTTATAGGTAATATTTTAGTCTCTGTTGATAAACCTTAGTGATACCCAACATTTTCTTCATTTATTATTTATATTTTTGGTAGATGTACAATTTGGTGAGATTGGTACCCTTTACTTCACATTCTTTGTGTGTGTGTGTAAACCTTTGAAAAAGTAGTGGCTTTTCAGTCTTTGCAGTCTGGCTTTATTTAGGAAAGCTCTTTGCCCATCACCCCACCCAGTTCTGTACTGACAATCAAGCATGGTACAAAGATTGGCTTATTTCTGGGGTCTTAATCAGGTTGGCATTTTGCCTGAGTATGTAGGTGGGTCAATTTGTAATCTGTTGCTATGGATCTGAGTTCCAAGCTCAGAACCACTGTAGTGCACCTGTTGATTGCAACCTCAATGGGCCTGAGTGTGTGTGATGATGACAGTCCTGGAATCAGCAGCTTCGAGGCCAGCCTGGAGTCTAATTCTATAGAGTCTTAGAGGAAACATAATTTAAGAACATAAAGAATCCTTAGGAAGGAGCATTTGATCCCTTAGCATTTGATGACTGCGAAGGGAAAAAGCCCTTGAGAGAATGTCAATGCTCAGTAGGCAGTCTACAGCCATGCACACACAGGCGGCACTATATGGATGCAGTGGCTTCAAAACTTAAAATGAGCACATGAAGTTGACAAAGAAAGTAGTCTGAAAAGAAAAAGTTAGAGGGAGTAGAAAAAGTTGAAAAGGTGTAGATTTATAAGACACAGTATATGCAAGTATAAAATTTTTAAATATTAAAAACTTTAAAAACACAGTAATCCATTACCTAAAGAACATGCAGTGTGTCCATATGTTTTGAAGATGTTTTTTATATAAATGGTGGTCATAAGGGAAAATCTCCAAGGACAGAAAGAATGAAAGAATGTAAACTTACTTCTGAAATTAAATAAAAATCTTATAATAGGAGGATCACATATGCATAATGTTTTGTGTTAAATGGAAATGCACTGGAGATGGATTGTGAAACTTGAGCCTTTAATTACATTTTAGATATCCATATTTTGGAAAGGGAAACAATAACAAACACAATTTTGAGTCAGGTTCAGAAATGAGGAAGGTTACTGAATGAATAACAAAAACTTTATTACATTACTATTTTTGAGTGCTGGGAGGCAAAATGAGCATGTTAGGCAAGAGTTTGTACCTGAGATGTACCCCTAGCTCATAGGTACATAAATTTTGTTTAAAATGCAATTGTCATATAAAGAAGCAATCTTTTATAATTCAAAAAATCATTTTAGGGTTGATTAAAGAATACTGGATAACTTTAGCAGAACTAGGTTCAAGAAAGCAGATATTCATTTAACACATTTTCTGTAGGCATTGTGGTAAAACAGAATTTATGATTTAATCAGTATATCTGCATAGTTGAAGGCAGAGAATTCTATAAAATCATTTCAGACAAAATATTTAACAACGTGAGTATATACATAGGGATTGGCCAAGACAACAGAAGCCAGCCATGGAATTTCAAACTTGAAATTTATCAAAATAAATTACCTAGGAGTTAAATAGTGGAAGTCACAGACTGCTGGTGAATTGCCTGGTTTTAATAGATAGAAGAAGACATCATTGTTAGTCTGAGAGAAAACTGAAGTGAATAAGGT